CTCCTCTGACACTAGAGTGAATTTCGGGGAGAAGGGACTCAAGCATTACAGCTCTACTGTATCAGGTTCCAAGTCTCCATCCTACCGGGTCCTATCCTGTCGCGGGAGGGACTCTGGGTTAAAGGGTGGCCCAGAGTGACGAAGACACTAGGCTGAGCCGCGGTGGCCTGGGAGGGGACAGAAAGGACACCGCAGGGTGCATTGGAACGGGGCGGTATGGGCCCCCGGGCAACAAACCAAAGGGGAGAAAAGCCTCGCAGACTCTCCAGGCACCAGGTGCGGATGTGTTATGTGGTGGTACCGACAACTCAGAGATTCTCCCAATCCGGACCAAACTACGCGTCAAGCCCCGAGTGCAGTGTTACCACATCCCCTCCTGCAGGGGGCGCCGAAATCCCGAACAAGTTCAAAGTGAAGCTGCTGGAGACTGTACAGACAGTACACACTCAGAGGGCAGAATTCAAGGCCATTCTCCTATCAGCAGGATGAGGCCAACCTGCAATACTGACCTCAACCATGCCCCTCAGGGTCCCAGAAGCAGCCAGCTGGGAATAAACTTCAGGAGGGACCTATAGATCTTATTTCAGTCTATCATCTATTACAATCCACTCAAAGAGGCTTAGCCCAGCCCTAATCTTTGTTGTCATCACCAATAATCACAGGGAAAAGAGATGGACAAAAGGCAACCCCACTCAACTTGAGAGGCATTCAGTGGCCACTTACCCCTACATGCAACCCAAAGGGGCACAGGGCACTTCAATTAGGCTTTGCAGTCACCATTCCAATGGTCTGGGTGAGTCACATTAGCCGAATGCAATGTGGACCTCATGGATTTTGATTAAAACAAACCAAATGTAAAACACTTAGGAAATTTTGAACACTGTCCGGATATTTGATATTAAAGAATTATTATTAATGTTTTGGCATGATAATAGGGTATTTATGATTTTTAAAGAGTTCTTACCTTTTAGAGATATATACTGAAATATGATAAAATGATACATTTGGTATTTATTTCAAAATAAGCTATAATTTGATGATCATTGAGGGTGTGTGATGGATACATGGGGATCACTGCACTATTTTCTCTACTTTTGCATATATTTGAAAGTTTCCATAATAAAAAGTGAAAAAAGATTAAGTTCTTGTACAAAAACATGCAACAAAGAGGTTCATACCATTATGATTTCGGGATGATTCATACATACTGCAAGCAAAATAACTTACGTTGCCTGAAAATACTATTGTAATATAAGGAGAAAAACGCACATGGATGAATTCCAAAAAGTTGCACACATCCACTTGTAGCTACAATTTCCAAATTCAATGCATCATTCCCAAGATAAATTAAAAGGCAAACATTTTAAAAGGAAGGCCTCAAAAACATACATTTTACAAGGGATCACCCACAAATTTAAGAATCCCAAGTTTTCTGCAATCTCAGAACTCAAAGTCTCAAATAATTCTTTGGATCAGTCCCTTTTCCAGACGCCTTCCTATGAGGTCATCATTCATTTATTCAACAAATACTGAGTACCTATTAAGTGCTCAGCTCCATAGGTATAATGATGAAGACACAAACCATGCCCTCCAGAAGCAGATACTCTAGATGGGGTCGCAGGCATGGTAACAGGCCATTACAGCAAAATGTGCTAAGATTCTAAGTGTGTGTGCATGTGTATAAACTTTTATTTTAAAGAATAGAGTTGGGGTCATCATGAGACAGCAGATTACATTTGATGATGGAAATAATTTATTTCACACATGCTACTGTTTTTTTTGTGTGTGTGTGAGGAAGATTAGCCCTGAGCTAACATCCATGCCAATCTTCCTCTTTTTGCTGAGGAAGACCGGCTCTGAGCTAACATCTATTGCCAATCCTCCTCCTTTTTTTCCCCTTTTTCTCCCAAAGCCCCAGTAGATAGTTGTATGTCATAGTTGCACATCCTCTAGTTGCTGTACGTGGGACGCTACTTCAGCATGGCCGGACAAGCGGTGCGTCAGTGGGCGCCCGGGATCCGAACCCAGGCCGTCAGTAGCAGAGCATGCGCACTTAACCGCCAAGCCACAGGGCTGGCCCCTGTGCTACTGTTCTCAATTCTGAATACCTGGAATTCTACCTCTTTAAAACTCTGGTTCAAATGTTATATATTTCATACTAACTGGATAAAGAAATAGTAGAATTGGCACAGAGGAGCTATGGTTACTCCTAATGTTTTGACAAGAGGTAAAGAATACTTCACATTTCGAAGCTTCGAACCTTTTCTATGAAATAAAAATCCAAGAGCATCTTCCCTCTTCCACCTAAAAACGCTTATTTTCCCATTAAAAAACTCTTTGGAAATAGCCAAGAAATGCATTATCCTATATGGTGGAAAATATCCCCGGATATCTTAATGCCTCTAAACGATTCACTAAGTCTGACCATCCAATGATGTATCTATTGGTTGTTTCCATAATGAACTTCCTACTAAACACAATACCTTCAGTGCAGCATATATATACCTTTTATCCCATATTCAGCACAAGTTCATTCCATATTCAGATTTAATTACAGTGCTTATGCTTCCATTTTTGTCAGGATAATTATAGCAGGTATAAACAGCTCTCTTTCCATAATCTAAAACCAACTAATAAAGAAAGTAGACACTAAGATATCAAAATCTTTCACATTTAAAGGCAAATGTATTCAGTCTCTTTCCATGCAGCACATAATAAGGTATCTATCTACGTGCTTGTTATTTCTTTTCCAAATCAAGTTTGGGACAACCTTTGAGGATCCACTCATCCTCCACGGTGAGCCACCTTGCACCATGCTCTGGTATCTTATGTAGGGGGAAAAGAACATTCTTGCCGACCTACAGATTAGTCAACTGGGGAGTGTGCTGGGAGAAGAGCTAGTGTCTATTGTCTCTTCCATCGCCGTCAAGCTCACAGTAGGGCTGTACCAACTTGTACCAACAGATGCCTATAGAAGCCATTCAGATATGCCACAGCAGGGAGAAAGGCATAGGCTAAGAGGAGGAGGAGGAAAGACTGATGTCCTAATGATGGAGTGAAGAGGCTGCTGGTTGGAAAAACCAGGAATAATGGAAGTGAAGTTGTCCTCCTTAGGATGCCATGCCGAGCAGAAAGCCTCCAAAAAATCCACCAGTCACTAGAACATTCTTCTTCACAAATGACACCACCTAAGAACAAAAGGTAGCACAATGGGTTATTTTGCTAAGGATATTATTATTAGGAATCATCTGTATTACCTATGCAATCTTAACAATGTCAATCCCCTCACCTGTTAAGTAGTTTGTACTTTACTCAAGGGGCAATGGAATCCATGAATGGACTAACGTGAAAATGACCACTGGCTGCTGTGGGGAGAATAAGACTATAGGGAGCCTGAGAGGAAGCAGGACACAGATCAGGAGGTGAGATGATGGGTCTTTGGATCAAGGTGGTGGCAGGGGTGCTTGTGCACAGTGATCAAATTCAAGAGATGTTTCTGAGACAGGACTTTGTGACCTGATGAATGACCATATGGCAGATGAGGAGGAGAAGTCAAGGGCAACTCCTTAGATCCTGTCTTTAGTAATGCTGTTTAGAGAGGTAAGAAATCCACCCGAGAGTAGTTCATGCAGGAACAGGGAAGGACAGAGGCTCACGTGGATAGTTATGGGGAAAGAGTAAAGCTTCATTCAACAAACTGGTTACAGAAGCCATTTTCCCCAGTTCCAATTTCACTCCCTCCATTCTCTTCAGCACCTCCTCTTTAATGGAGGCTGCTCACTCTGAAGTCTCTCCTCCAAACCTCTCCATCCATTCATCCTGTCCATCTGTCTGTCTTCCCATCTATCCACTCATCCCCCTCTGAGACCTCCTCTCAAGTAGATGCTACGAATTCTCAATCTCACACTTCACTACATCAGAGGATGATTAACTGGTGACGTCCTATTCTTAAATTCCCAAAGCTTCTCACATCCCGTAAAAGTTCCCACTCATCTGCGGCTCCCATGTCTGTGCTCTATCAATCTCCATTTCAGAGAGAACTTTGGTAAATGAGTCAGACTCCCTCTTTCTCCCAAGTACAACCACTACCTTAGAAAGTGTTCATAAGGACACCACATCCACTATCCTGAGCTAATCATTTCTTGAACTCAACTACAGCAACTTCACCTCCCAACCATTTAAGCCACTCATACCCTGATCTTCCCCTGACCTTTTCCACTCTACTACTCCAGCCTCCTGGGACTCTCTAGCTTCCTCACTCCCACTGTGTCACTTCCACTCCTCTCCCTGACTCGACTGGACCCCACATTTCCCTACTTGAGGCATTGTCTTTTGTCATCTGCCACCAGAGGGAATGAAAAAAATCATACAACTTCCCGAAAAAATTGCTTTTGTTCATTATCCTTACTTTCTTACTTCCTACTCATTCCTCAACTTGCTACAGTTGGCTTTCAACTCTACCACCCCACTAAAACTATTCTCACTGAAGTCTCTGATGACTTTCTTGCTGCTAAATACTGAACTTTTTTTTGGGGGGGTGAGGAAGATCGGCCCTGAGCTAACATCTGCCAATCCTCCACTTTCTGCTGAGGAAGACTGGCCCTGGGCTAACATCCATGCCCATCTTCCTCTACTTTATATGGGACGCCGCCACAGCATGGCTTGCCAAGTAGTGCGTCGGTGTGCACCCGGGATCCGAACCGGTGAACCCCAGGCCGCTGCAGTGGAGCACGCGCACTTAACCGCTTGCGCCTCTGGGCCGGCCCCCTAAATACTGAACTTAACATCTTCATTTCCTGCTTCCCAAATAAGACCACGAGCTCTGAGCAGGAGAACCAGCCACTATTCCTGGGACCTATGACAGTGCCAGGCTATGAACAGGAATACAAAAATTTGTGGAATGAACCAATTCCAAATCTTTTGGTTAGTTTATAAGACGTTCCCTCTGTGAGTCAACAGTTGGTTCTAATCAAGCATTAATATTATACTTTTACTATATACACTTCCTATATCACTATATGTATTTCTTGTATCATTAAAGAAGTTTTCAACAATCATGTATTACTTTTGTAAACATTAGAATAATAAAGTTTTGGTGAAATGAAAAAAGTGTAGGCCGGCCCCGTGGCTTGGTGGTTAAGTGCGCGCGCTCCGATGCTGGTGGCCCGGGTTCGGATCCCGGGCGCGCACCGAGGCACCACTTCTCCGTCCATCCTGAGGCCGAGTCCCACATACAGCAACTAGAAGGATGTGCAGCTATGACATACAACTATCGACTGGGGCTTTGGGGGGAAAAAATAAATAAATAAAATCTTAAAAAAAAAAAAAGAAAAAAGTGTAACTTTCATAACCTTGAGCTTTAGAAGAAGGGATGAAAGGAGGGAAGGAAGGGGGAGCGACTATCTGTGCTCCTGAGTCCCGACAGATGCCACTTTCCATTCTGGGTTAAGGACCAGCTTCAGCCAACCACTCGCCACCATAGAGACTGTCACCACGTACCTGGCAACGCAGAGTTCTCTGTTCAGGATTTTTCTGGTCTGATAAGTCATTTACCACTCATCTCTCTGCTTTCCACCTTCCAACAATTTGCTGGCATTTTTTGTCTACTGGTATTCCTGTCCTATTGTCTTGGTCCTTGTGAGTTTAGCGTTTTTTTTTTTTTTTGTTATCATCAGTTAGAAATATTTCAGAAGGAAGTAGAGATAAATGCATGTGTTTAATCTGACATGTTCAATCTAAGTTCACCTACTACCACCTATTCTCTTTGATTAGATAACTTTTTTCTGTCACTGCTACTACAGTGTGAGTGCCTCAAGGACAAGGCCTATTTCAATTTAACTCTAAATCCCTCCTCTGCATTCATTCTGTCCCTTCTCTGTGAATGCAGAACACTGTTACTCCAGGCTATGGAAGGTGTCAGGCACCTTCTTGATATCTTGATCCTGGTTTATTTCTCTCCAGTTCAGTGCTCTTATTTCTTTGGGACATTTGACATATTTCTAAAGGTAATAAAGAAGTAGCAAAATACATCCTTTTAAAAAGGAAGGACTTCTCCTGTCCCTCCAGTGCCAGCCAATGTAACCTAACCTGGTTTTATGCATTAGACCAGGGGTTAGCAAAGTACACCCCGGGGCCAAATCTAGCCAGCCGCCTGTTTTTAAATAAAGCTTCATTGCAATACAGCCACACCCACTTGTGTACATATCATTTATGGCTATTTTCACACTACACAGTAGACTTTAGTAGTTGTGACAGAGACCACATGGCCTGCAAAGCTGAAAATATTTACCATCTGTCCCTTTACAAAAAAAGTTTGCCAATCCCTGGGCTACACATTGCTGCTAGTTATGTGTAGAACAAGTAAGGACGTTTCAGAGATGTGTGTGCATGGAGACAAAATATGACTTGAAATGATCATATCGGCTATACAATCTACCTCCTTATTATCCTCCCCACTTGCTGTGCTACCTCCATCCCTACAAGAACTAGTTCAAGGGACGACTGATCCACAGATGTGCATGTATCACTTTGTACTCTCACTCACTGATAAAGGTCACCAAACATTTCAATTACCCAGTGTTAAAAAAACGCCTCCAAGGTGAAGATCTTCCATCCAAGGCTGACATACTGGTGTGTCTACTCCATTTGTGTACACACAAAATCGTCTGCACCATTCACACACTGCACTCATGTGAACAAAAAAGTCTCACCTCCTCTGCTTTGCTTTTGACCTCTGTAGGTATATGGTTGCTCTTACGGATCTTCAGCTGTTCCTTGGCTTTCTTCATGTCCTTCTCTACTCGCTGCCAGTCAACTTTGATGTACCCAGTATGGTTTGCAAGCTATAGTTTCAACAACGACAGAAAGAAATAAGAAACACAAGCTTGTTACTTCTTTTTGTCAGGATGAATCACTGAAGTACATTATCAAAAATCCTTCTAATTTTCCATTTTTGGAGACAGTTGCCATCCAGTTATTTGTATGACAATCACATTCACTCAACATCTATTCAGCATCCACCCTATGTGCAAGGCCCTATGCCTGATGCTGGAAATCAACAGACTGGCCTTCAATGATTGCTGGTAACTCTTTTACTTTATTTATTCTCTTACCCCTCTCTACAAAGTTGTTAAGTTAGCTTAAAAAAATAAAATGGTAAAATGAAAATCAGAATTGGAAGTCAAGATGTAAGGTGAAGAAACAGACCTTACAGCCAACATAAGTCTGAGTTTCTTGACAATGTGAACAGAGCAAGGCTGTCAGGTAGTAATCACTGGTTCTCTGAGAGAAGTCTTCTAGCACATGGCCCCACAGAGATTTCTCATGAGCGACTTCATACAAGGGGTACTGGGAGAAGCACATCCAAATATCCCTACAGAATATGCCTACTTCCCTTGGTAAAGACAGCAGGCACAACATGAAAACTCAGTGCAAACGATTTCACCAAGAATGTGTGAACAGGATAAAAGTGATTCAAGTATGTAGTTTTCTGATGGATTACTGTTATCCAAAGAATGGAGCCTCTGATTACAGCCCATCAATCAATCCTCCATCAAGATGAAATCTCCCCACCAAATTTTTGATAAGTCATATCCACCTGGATATCTCAAAATACTTAAAACTGCAACTCTTGTCCTCTCTGTAGTCTCCTCCTGCATTGTGGCTCTTCCTCTAGTCTCTATTTCAGTTAATGGCACCACCAAGTAATCAGTCACCCAAACCAGGCTGGAGAAAATATTTGCGATATATATAATAAACAAACATTAAGGAAATTCAAATTAAAATTAATGAGATACTATAATTTTTTATCAGACCGGAGGGAATTAAGAGATTGAAAATATCCAATGTTGGGAAGGATGTGGGGAAAGAGACACTCTTATCTACTTTTACTGAGAGTGTTAACTGGCAGCCTTTTAATAGAGCAATTTGGCATTACCTACCAACACTGCCACTGCATGTGCCATTATGCCATCCAGAATGGCAGCTCTTGTCATAGTAGCTTTACTTGTAACAGTCGTCAATAACTGGAAATAACCCAAATGTCCATCCACATGTGAATGGATAAACAAACTGTACCATGTTTACACAACAGGATATTACTCAGTCCTAAAAAGAACAAACTACTTATAGCAGCAACATAGTTGGATCTCAAAAATTGTGTGCAAAACCAAAGTTCCAACTCCTTTACTCCACCCTGACCCTCCCACAGGACAGGAGACATGGAACAGCTACTTGACGGCTCATGTGTTTCCTGTTTTTCCTCCAGTGCCACCTGGCCTAGACTCAAGGCAGGATTCAAAAACATCTGACAAAATTCAACACGCATTCATGATAAAAACTCCCAGAAAAACAGAAATAGAGGCGGAACTTCCTCAACTTGATAAAGAGCATCGACAAAGAAACCTAAAGCTAACATTGTACTTATGGGTGAAAGATTGAATGCTTTCACCCAATGTTAAGAACAAGGCAAAGCTGTCTACTCTCTCCACTCCTATTCAACACCATACTGGAAATGAAGTCGTAGTGAGCACAACAAGGCAAGACAAGGATCGAAGAGGCATCCAGATCAGAAAGGAAAGTGTCCAACTGTCACTATTCATAGCCATGTTTGTCTACATAATCTCAAAGAATCCAACAACAAACAAACAAAAGCTCCTACACCTAAAAAGGGCGTTTACCAAGGTTGCAGAATACAAGATCAATACACAAAATCAATTGTATTTCTATATGCTAGCAATTTGAACAACTGGAAATGGAAATAAAACTATGATTTACAATAGCTGCAAAATAATTAAATACTGGGTATAAATCTAAACAAAAATCATACGGTATCTGTATGCTGAAAACTACAAAATGCTGTAGAAAGAACCCAAAGATGACCCAAATAAATGGAGGGACAGGCTGTGTACGTGGAGTGGAAAACTCAATGCAGAAATGATGTCCAATTCTCTCCAGACTGAGCTATAGAGTTACTGAAACACCAATCCCAGGAGAACAGTTTATAGACATATAAACAAGCTAGTTCTAAAATGTATATGGAAAGGCAAAGCAACTAGAACAGCCAAAACAATCTTGAAAAAGAACAGAGTTAGAGGAATCACACCACCTTATTTTAAGATTTACTATGCTACAGCAATCAAGACAGTGCGATATTACAGAAGGGACAGACACACAGATTAATGAGACAGAATAAAAAGTACAGAAACAGACAACCCAATTTAAAAATGGGCAAAAGACCTAAATAGACACTTCACCTAAAAGGATATTTGGATAGCAAATAAGCACATGAAAAGATGTTCCACATCATTAGTTGTATCATTCTCAGTGCAACTGGGAGACAGCCTTAGGGCTGAGAGCAAGTGACCAAGGAAAGCCACAACAGTGACTAAAGCTCTAAGGTACCTAGCAATAAAATCGAACCACAGATGTACAAGATCTATATGGACGAAAATAATAAAAGTCTATGCACAGACATTAAAGAAGACTTAAACAAATAGAAAGAAAGCCCACGTTTACAGACAGATAACTTAGTATCATAAAAGATATTAATTCCCAAATTTACCATACGGTTCCCATGCAATACGAATCAAAATTTCAAGAGAATTTTTGAAAGTAATTGACAAGCCTATTCTAAAATTTAGACGGACAAGAAAAAGCAGCCACAATACTCCTGAAGAATATGTGGAGGAACTTATCTTACCAACTATCAAGGCTTAGTAAAGGCAGGAAGTTGACCAGTGGAACAGAATAGAGAAACTAGAATCAGATCCACACATATTTTGATATATGATATATGATAGAGGCAACACTACAAATATTGGGAAAAGGAAGACTTGTTCACTAAATGTTGCTGGGACAATTTTCAGTATAAAAGAAATTGGATCCTTACTTCAAACCATAACCCCTGATCTCTCAACATCATGCCTACTTCCCCACCCTCATCCCTCTGATGACAGACAACATGAGTGCATACCAGACTCCCCATGCCCATGCCCCCCCAGCAAGGAGGCATCCCTGCATTCCTTGAATATCCCACCCACTTTGAGGGACTTTCCTGGAGATACTTTCAATACCAATTACTTCTGCCAGTCAGGGCCCAAAAAGAAACAGAGGTATGCTCAGATTAAGACATTTCAAAGCAATATTAAGATATTTACAAACTTTAGGGCAGGGTGTAGCGGAAACCACAGGGATAGAGCAGGACTGTGGATCTAGCAGCAACAGAGCTGTCACTGCACTTCCGCCTGAAGGACTAAGAGGAAGGAAAAATTACTGCAACCCAGAAGGAGACAGAAAGGTGTGAGGAGGGGGCCCCGCCTTGTAAGGAGTCTAACCTGTCCAATAACAGAGTCAGCCCCTGCCAGGCCCACAGGGAGGGAGCCAGGAACCTAAATATTGAATCGGGGGCGGGGGGAGGCTGCTAGTAACCAGCAGAGTGCTGCAGAAGTGATGCTGCATGAGTTTCAAGGCTAGGGCAGAAAACAAGGTGCAACTTTCACCATGTTTCTGGAAGACTTGTGCTTGGAGCCCTGAGGCCACAGTGGTGTGAGAAAGTTTAAACTAGCCCATGTAGAGGGACCATGTGGAGGAGCTATGAGACTATGGAGAGCGAGGAAAGGGAGGAAATGTGGGGGAGGAGGTGAGAGAGACAGAGAGACGCCCAGACCCACCTCAGTCCTCTGCTCATCTTGCTCTAGCCATCACCTGCCTGGTAAGCCAGCCAGTCAGTCACTAGCCTCCTTCTTCCACACATTTAATTTCTAACCCACCCATCTGGGAAACTCACTCCAACTGCGGTTCTAATGTAGAACTTACCTTGGTAAAATGAGGGATGCCAACTGTGGGAGGCGACAAAGGGCTGTGAATTCAGAAATTCTGGCACAATTCAACAAATTATGGCTTCTACAGAGCACCGGTTCTCAAACTGTTCTGCACATTAGAATCACCTCAGGAGTTTAAAAATATTCCAGTGTGCAAGCATGCCTACCACCTATGAAATCAGGCAGGGGGCTGGGTAGACCCCAAGCATCAGTGCTTTTTAAAACTCCCAGGTGATTCCAATGTGGAGTCAAATTTGCAAACCAATGCTACAGAGCATCCTAGCACACAGAGGTTCCGAAATAAACTTCAGGTCAAGGAGACAACAGAGGACATCTACCTGTACTGTCATTTTGCCCTCACTTCTCATCAACTACTCTGGTATCAAAGCTGGCTATATTAGTGTATAAGAATAAATCATATCACGGGGCACTTGTATCACACTTTGTATTTTTGAAATCACATTTGCTTAATATTTCAACTGGTCTTAAAAACCCTGTAAGGGAGCAATGATAAGGAATATGTAAGTATGTCCCCATGTTAAAAATGATGACTAGTAATTGATGAAGTTTGACTCAAATGGTCACTAGCAGTTCAAATAGTACATGAAAACAAGAGCAAAGGCTATTCTAGCGTAAGACGCCAGGACTATCTAGATTACAGCTCCTCACACCACATTCCTAATGGGCAAGTGGAATTTCCAAACTTCTAGGAATATTTCACATACAGACCTGAAGGAGAAAGAATCCACCTCCCACAGCTGTTGCAGCCAACTTTCCAACCTTCTGGAATATGAAACCCGTGCACCTACAAAAACCAAACCAACATCAGACAAGTTGACAGGCTGTCAGATATGCACAAACATGCACTTCTAATAATGTTCAGATCCTACTTACCTTGACATGATCCAGCTCCTTCCTACTCCATACATAAAGCCAGCCCCCAGAGGGAGCATGGTGTAAGTAAACAGCAGAGGCTCTGAACTCAGAAAGACCCTGAGTCAAATCTTGGCTCTACCACTTACTGATTTTGTGGTCTTGAGCAAATCCCTTAAAACTCCCAGGTTGCATTTTTAAAAGATGACTCGGGCTACCGTGTAGATGATGGATCAAGGCAGAGACTCCAGTTGGGAGCCTGCAGTAGCAATCTGGAGGAGAGATGCTGGCAGACTGAACTGAGGTTGTATGGGAGAGACCGCAAGGAGGGGGCAGCCCTGAGAACTGCCTGTGAAACAAATAAAATATGCCTGAGCTTGAAGACAGGGTGGTTGCAAGGGATAAGGAACAAGATTCTGCCCTGAACGCGTAGGAGGACGTGGTAACATTTTGAACAATATGAAAACATGGAAGAAACAGATGAAAAGGCAGGGGAATATGCTGAATGAAATGTTCTTCTGCTATCTGATGGGCTAAATCTAGCAGCCAATTTAATCTAATTATTTGATTTGTTTCATTATTATTGCCTATGTCCCTTCTGCAACTCTGCTCCATGAGGGTAGGGATTTCGTTTTGTTCATTACTGTACACTAAAATGCTAAAATTATTAACCATCATTGAAAATGTCCTCCCTAAACTCCCATTCTTCTCCAGCCACCTTCCCTTTTCTCTGCTCCCCTTTACAGCAAAACTACTCGCGGGGTTATCTATCCTTGCTGTCTCCATCTGACCCCGCCACCCATTCTCCCAAACCCACTCCAAGTAGGCTTTTGTCACATGAAATCAAGGAAACCATTCTTATGAAGGTTACCAACGATCTCGACCTTACCAAATGCTAATGTTGACTTCACAGCCTTCATCTCACTTGACCTATCAGCAGCTTTGACACAGTGGATTACTCTTTTTTTTTTTTTTTAATTTTTATTTATTTTCCCCCAAAGCCCCACTAGATAGTTGTATGTCATAGTTGCACATCCTTCCAGCTGCTGTATGTGGGACGCGGCCTCAGCATGGCTGGAGAAGTGGTGCGTCAGTGCGCGCCCGGGATCCGAACCCGGGCCGCCAGCAGCAGAGCGTGAGCACTTAACTGCTAAGCCACGGGGCCGGCCCTCGATTACTCTTCTTAAAATAACTTTTTTGCTCTGGAATACCATTCTTTCTTGGTTTTCCTCATTCCTCGCTGGCTGTTCCTCTCAGACTCTTTCATTGATTTTTCATCTTCCTGACCTCTAAATGTTGAATTGCCCCAAGGCTCAGTCCTGGGACCTCTTTTCTCTACGTGTACTCACTTCCTAGATGTTCCCATCTAGTTCTACGGCTTTAAACGACATCTCTGATACACACTACCACATGGATGAACATCAAAAAGCATTATGCTAGGCTTATGATCAGATTTAAGAATTAATGATTAAGAGTCTTTATCATTAATTTACAATTCTACCAAAAAAATGAGAGAATAAAGGCTAGGTAATGATCCAGTTGTTTGCATTTATCACTGATTAAACAATCTTAGTTGAAAAATGTCAGTTAATGGCTTCATGTAACGGACTTAGGGCCAGTGGAAGCCAGATGCACAAGGTCACATATTATATGATTCTATTTATATGAAATGTCCAGACTAGGCAAATCCATAGAGACAAAAAGGAGACTGGTGGTTGCCAGGGGCTGGGGGAAGGGGAGAAAAGGTAGTAACTGCTCAGTGGGTATGGGGTTTTATTTCTGGGTGAGGAAAATGTTCTGGAACTAGACAGAGGTGATGGTTGAACGACACTGTGCATGTACTAAATTCCACTAAATCATACACATTAAAATGTTAGTTTTATGTTATATGAATTTCACCTCAATAAAAATTATATAGAGACACATATATATAATATACATATTTATATTATACATACATATATATATAATATACATATTTACATATTTGATACAAAAGAAAACAAAGAAAGTGCCTCTTCCCTTGGCTGATTTTAATATGTATCCTTTTGCTGTAAAAAATCGTAACCATGAGTATACCAGTTCTCAGTGAGTTCTGTGAATCCTCCCAGGGAATTATCAAACATGAGGGTGGTCTTAGTGATCCCCAAACTCTGCAAACTAATAAGTGACTTTGACAAGATTGCAGTATACAAGATCAATATATAAAAATCAATTGCATTTCTATATATAAGCAATGAACAATGAGAAATTGAAATTTTAAAATAATAGCATTTACAATAGCATCAAAAATATGAAATACTTAGGGATAAAACTGATATGAGATGTGCAAGACCTACAAAGCATTGCTGAGGGAAATTAAAAGAAACCTAAACAAAAGGAGAGATAAACCAGATTTATGGATCAATATAATCCCAGTCAAAATCTCATCAGACTTTTTGTAGAAACTGGCAGCAAGCTGATTCTAAAATTCATATGAAAATGCTAAGTACCTAGAACAGTCAAATCAACTTTGAAAAAGAACAAAGTTGTAAGATTTACACTACCTGATTTTATGACTTATTATAAAGTTATAGTGGGGCTGGCCCCATGGCTTAGTGGTTGGGTGCGTGCGCTCTGCTGCTGGCGGCCCCGGTTCGGATCCCGGGTGCGCACCAACGCACCGCTTGTCCAGCCATGCTGAGGCAGCGTCCCACATACAGCAACTGGAAGGATGTGCAACTATGACATATAACTGTCTACTGGGGCTTTGGGGAGAAAAAGGGAAAAAAATAAATAAAGTTATAGTAATCAAGACAGTGTGATATTGGCACCAAGATGTACAAATCAATTTAACAAAGAGTTCAGAAACATTACAGACATAATAGTCAACTGATTTTTGACACAGGTGCAAAGGTAATTCAGTGTAGAGAATTATAGTCTTTTCAACAAATTGTGTGGGCACAATTAGATATCCATATGCAAAAACAGAGCTTGGATTCCTACCTTACAACATATACAAAAAGTAAATCAAAATGGATCACAGACCTAAATGAAAAATCTAAACCTATATATGGTCTAGAAGAAAACATAGAAGAAATCTTGGTGACCCTGAGTTAGGCAAATATTCTCAGATATGACACCAAAAGCTAGAGCTATAAAAGAAAAACTTGATAAATTACATTTCAAGATTAAGAACTTCTACTCTTTGAAAGACACTGTTAGGATGAGAAGAAGCTATAAAGTAGAAGAATATATTTCCAAATCACATATCTGATATAAGACTTGTATCCGGAATATATAAAGAACTCTTACAACTCAGTAATGAGAGAAAACCAGCATCCCAATAAAAATATGGAGAAAAGATCTGAACAGATACTTCACCAAAGATACATGGATGGCAAAAATAAGCCCATGAAAAGATGTTCAACATCACTAGTCACTGGAACATGAAAATTAAAACCACAAGGAGATATCACTTCACATCCACTACGATGGCTATAATCAAAAAGACATTATGCCAAGTGTTAGTGAGGATGTGGAGAAACTGGAACCCTCATACATTGCTGGTGGAGATGCATAGTAAAGGTACTTTTAACTGTGTGGCAGGTTCTTAACTAGTTAAAACATTTACCTACTATTTGACCCAGCCATACTATTCCTAGGTATTTACCCAAAAGAAATGAAAGCATATGTTCATACAAAGACTTGTACACAAATATTCATAGTAGTTTTAGCTAAAAAGTAGAAATAAACCAATATCCATCAAAGGTGAACGGATAAACTGGTTCATCCATACAATGGAACACTACCCAGCAATAAAAAGGAAGGAACTGCTGATAAAGAGAAAATCACAGATGAACCTCAAAATCAGCATGCTAAGTGAAAGAAAGAAGTCAGAAAAAAAGAATATATACTGTATAATCCATTTATATATAATTCTAGAAGACACAAAGTAATCTATAGTGATAGAAAGCAGATCAGTGGTCGGTGAGGGCATGAAAGGGAGGAGGGTGGGATCATAAAGAGGTATAAAGAAACTTTTAGAGTGATGGATATGTTCATCATCTTAATTGTGGTGATGATTTATGGGTGTGTACATGTCAAAACTTATCAAACTGTATACCTTAAATAGGTGCAGCTGATGATATGCCAATTTTTTTATTAAACTGTCAAAAAAATAAGAAATAAAGAGAATAGCCAAGAAGTTCCTGAAGAACAAGATGGCAGGCAGACAGACACACACAGACACACACACACACACACACACACACACACACACACACACACACGGACGCCAGACATATGGCAGAGGTGGTGCAGTGGAGTAGTGGGGAAAGGATAGCTTTTGCAATAAACTGAGTTGGGACAACTGGTTATTCCACATGGAATAAACAGCAGAATCTACCACACACTAAGCACAAAAAACAATTCCAGGTGGATTTATAAATCTAAATGTAAAAGGTAAAACAATAAAGTACTAGCACATGGGGTAGGCAAAGATTACTTAATGAGGACACAAAAATTACTAACAATTTAGGGAAAGATCGATAAAACTGACTATATTAAAAATAAGATCAGTTCATCAAAAGATACCAAAAGGCAAATGAAAAGACAATCACAGAATGCAGAATGAGTGAAAACATCTGCAATACATACAACCAACACAGGACTCATTCCGAAAACATAAAGATCTCTTATAGCTGAATAAGAAAAAGAATGACAACTTAATGGACAAATTACAGAAGATTAGAATGGGACTTCATCAAAGAGGAGATCCAAATGCTCCACAAACGTATGTAAAAGTTACTCAATTTCACCACTACTCAGGGAAATGTAAATGAAAACCATGTGAGATACCACTATCTATCAGACTGCCAAAAATTTAACAGTCTGGCAATATCAAGTGCTGACAAGACTGTAGAGCATCAGGAACACTCACTCAATCATTGTTGTTGGGAGGGTAAACTGTTACAACCACTTTTGGAAAACAGTTTGACATTATGTAGCAAAGCTGAAGGTACTTATACTCCATGACCTAGCAATTCAACTCCCAGGTATAGACCCTACAGAAATGTGTACACGAGTGTTCATATCAGCATTGTTTATATTAGTCAAAAACTGAAACAACACAAATGTCAGTCATCAACTGGATAAATATACTCTGGTATATTCATACAATGGAATTCTAAATATGAATGAAAAGGAAGAAACTACAACTACATACATGATTGAATATACAAAACATCAAGCTGAGCAAAAGAAGTAAGACTCAAATACACATGATTGCATTTATTTAAAGTTCAAAACCAGGTAAACTACAGTATATTATTTAGTGACAGAATTGGAGTTAAAACTACAAAGAAAAGCAAGGAAATAATGCATAACAGCCAGGACAGCATTTATCTCTAGAGTGTTTGGGGTACTAGCCACATTTTTTTAACCTGAGTGGTTGTTACATAGGTGGTCACTCTATTTGTATTCATTAAAATGTACACGTATTACATGCACTGTTCTATATTTGTGTTATATTGTGCAATAAAAATTTTCAAATGTAAAAAGTAGAGCTTATAAGATTGATAGATTTCATATTCAATTACTAAATTTGGTATTAAAAGTTTCTGAATTTATTACAAATGAAGCCATAAGCTGTGTCACATTAAGGAAGTTATCATCTGACAGAGCTAATCAGTGGCTGGTTCCTTATTCTACCACTTACTAGCTCTGTGGCCCTGGGTAAGTGAACCCTGCTGAACCTTAGTTTCTGTAAAATGAGGACAGATAATAACAGTAACAATTTCAGGGTTGTTGTGAGAAGAAAATGATATTTCTATACAAATATATATATATATATATATATATTTTGGTGAGAAAGATCAGCCCTGAGCTAACATTCGATGCTGATCCTCCTCTTTTTTGCCGAGGAACATTGGCCCTTAGCTAACATCTGTGCCCATCTTCCACTACTTTATATGGGATGCCACCACAGCATAGCATGACAAGCAGTACATCGGTGCACGCCGGGGATCTGACCCCGAGAACCCTGGGCTGCCGAAGCGGAGTGCGTGCACTTAACCACTTGCGCCATGGGGCTGGCCCCTTAAAATATTTTTTTATTTTATATTTTTATATTCTCCACTTCTCAATGTGGAGAAAAGGGAACTCTTGTGCACTGCTGGTGGGATTGTAAATTGGTGCAGCCACTAAGGAAAACAGTATGGAGGTTTCTCAAAAAATGAAAAATAGAACTACCATAGGATCCAGCAATTCCACTTCTGGGAATATATCTGAAGGAAATTAAATCAGGATCTCAAAGAGTTACCTGCACCCCCATGTTCATAGCAGCATTATTTACAATAGCCAAGACATGGAAACAACCTAAGTGTCCGTCAATGGATGAATGGATAAAGAAGTTGTGGTACATAAATACAATAGAATATTATTCAGCCATAAAAAAAAAGATGAAATCGTGCTATTTGCAACAGCATGGATGGACCTTGAGGGCATTATGCTAAGTTAACTCAGAAAAAGACATATACTGTACGATCTCATTTATATATGGAATCTAATTAAAAAAACGCAAAATCATAGAAAAAGAGATCAGAATTGTGGTTACCAGAGGCGAGGGTGGGGAGGTGGGGGTGGGGGAATTGGAGGAAGGTAGTCAAAAGGTACAAACTTCCAGTTATAAGATACATAAGTACTAGGGATGTAATGTACAACATGATGACTATAGCTAACACTGCTGTATGCTACGTAGGAAAGGTGTTAAAACAGTAGATCCTAAGAGTTCTCATCATAAGGAGAATTTTTTTTCTTTACTTCCTATTGTATCTATATGAGATGATGGATGTTAACTAAACCTATTGTGGTAATCATTTCACAACATATGTAAATCAAACCATTATGCTGTATACCTTAAACTTATACAGTGATGTATGTCAGTTATTTCTCAATAAAACTGGAAAAAATGAGGATAAATAATAACAATACCAATTTCAGAGTTGTTGTGAGAAGAAAATGAGGTATCTATATAAATACTTAAAATAGTACCTGGAATGTAGTAAGTACTAGGTGTAACCATTAAACAGCACTTTAACATGATGTTTAGCCGAACACTATACATTAAGTGATCAACTTCACAAAAGTCAATGTGTTTTCACTTGTTAAAGGAGATGGTTCCTATAACCACAATACTAAATCCTGCAAAAAAAAGACGCTGCACATCTTTCACATCACTTACCATCCAGTGACGCCTCCAATTAACAGCTGGGTGGCCACACTATACTTTTCGGCTGAAGGCCCAGATTCTTGCCCGAACAGCTTGCGCCACCATGGCTGCTTTTTAGCAAATTCTGCAAGGTCCAATGACTCAAAATTTCCCTCAAAGTTTCCTAGAAGAATTAAGATACTGAATAAGAAAACAGTTACTTTTACAATAAATCACTACCATTCCTAAATTAAGAGGTGTTTAAGGAAACAGAGATAGTTGTAATAAGAACCTCTAAATATTATTCTATTTTAAATAGTAAATTAACTTTGAAATTCTGACTAGCAATTTTTGAAAATCAGACTGAAAATACTATCTGTCTTAGAGGAAAAAAACCTAGACAATTTACAATTGTACTCTAGTTTTTCCTCTCAAATTCAAAAACAACCAAAAGGACCCAGGAAACACTGCTAGTAGTACTTAATAAACGCATCCTAAATGAAATGGATTTTCTTCATTTGCCTTTCGTTTTCAGGAGTAACTCAATACTATTCAGTAACCCACAAATTCAGAAATTCTCAGTATTATTTGGATCTCCAGTGATAATAAAGATAAGAGGTAATGTTTGAGCTCTTACTATTTACTAGGCAATGTACTAAGCAATAAACATGTATATTTAATTAAGTTCACAGAACAAAGTAGGTACAAAACAAGGTACTATTTATTAACCCCATTTGATAACTAAGAAGTGGAGATTCAGAGGTTAAGCAATTTGCCTAAGAAGGGAAAAAGTTAACAAAATGTCGAATCCCTTTCTGTGGAAAGATAACAGAGGGATAAATTTAATGAAAGATGCACAATATCTCTACACTGTAAATGACAAAACACTGCAGAGAGAAACTGAAGATGACCTAAATGAATAGAGATATACACCATATCTAAGTTTTGCAAGACTCAACATTTTTAAGATGTTCCTTCTTTCCATATTGATCTACAGACTCAATGCAATCCCAATCAAAAAGTAGGTTTTTATCTAGAAATTGACAAGCTAGTTCTAAAATTTATATGGAGGTGCAAAGGACCCAGAATAATGTTCCAGTTACTACTGCTATACAACAAATTACCCCAAAATTTCATGGAGCAAAACAATCATTTATTATGGTCTCAGATTCTGTGGATCAGGAGCTCAGACAGGATACAGCATTACAGCTCATCTCTGCTCCATGATGTCTGAGGCTTCAGATGGAAGACTTACTGGCAGGGGTCTGGAATCATCTACTAGATTCACACATACAGGCTGCCTCTCTATGTGGGTTAGTTTGGGCTTCCTTATAGCATGGTGGCTAGGTTCATGGGTGCCTGTCCCAAGGGAGGGAGGGACTGTGGAAGGGAGCTTGAGGGCTAGGCAGAAGCTATATTACCATTTAAGACCAAGCCTCAGAAGCCATGCAGTGTTACTTCCACTGAATTCTGCTGGAGCAGTCACAAACTCCCACTCAGATTCAAGAGGGAATATAGACTCCATTACTCAGTGGGAGGAGTGTCCAAGTTACACTGAAAAAAGAGCATGTGGAATGGAATATTGCTGCAATCATTTAGGAGATACAATGTGCCACAAGTGGCCAAAACAATTTTGGGAAACAAAGTTCAAGGAATTTCAAGACTTCTTATAAAGCTATGGTAGAATACAGCTACCAAATTTCAAGATTTATAAAGCTACCATATTTGACACAGTGTAAAACTGACCTAACGATACACAAATATATCAATGGAAGAAAATACAGAGTCCAGAAGTAGATCTACACATACAGTCATCTGATTTTCAATAACATGACACCAAGGTAATTTAACAGGGAAAGTCAGTGTTTTCCACAAATTGTGTTAGAACTACTAGGTATCTGTACTAAAAAAAAAAAAAGAACCTCAATCCCTACCTTACACCATACACAAAATATAATTCAAGAATTCATTCATTCAAGATGGATCATAGATCCCAATTTAGCAGAACCAAAACATGGATGTTTGAAGAACTGGGCCTTATATGGCCTCACAAGTAGTTAAATGAAAAATTTTCTTCTAATCTAACAACAAAATATGACTGCTGTGTTGAAGAAGAAACTTCCTCCCTGGGTTAAAGAATATCACTGAAAATAACAATGAGTTTTGAGTTTTGTTTGAATGTAATTTTACCAAGCCCCTTATCTCAATAGGGAACTCCAGTCAAAAGGGGGATCCAATCAGAGGCATACAGTTCACCCAACTTCATTTGGTCATTCAACAAACATTGCTAAGCACTATGTAAACAAAAGTAAGTCACTAGCCTTGCCAGGAAACCAGTGATCACAGTATCATATGATAAAGATTGAAATTCATCATATCAACCTCAAAATTTCTCACAACAATTTCCTAGGTGCAAATATCTGATCAACCTATATATTTTTTTTTATAATTTTATTTATTTATTTTTCCCCCAAAGCCCCAGTAGATAGTTGTATGTCACAGCTGCACATCCTTCTAGTTGCTGTATGTGGGACGCGGCCTCAGCATGGCCGGAGAAGCGGTGCGTTGGTGCGCCCCCGGGATCCGAACCCGGGCCGCCAGCAGCGGAGCGCGCGCACTTAACCGCTAAGCCACGGGGCCAGCCCCACAACCTATACATTTTAAGTGAATGAGGGCAGTCTGCTCTGCAGGAAAATAATGATATTGTACATTCCAACCCCTTAGAGTCACCTAAATTTAGTGTTGTGCTGGTACATGTTTAACAACCGGCTTGGGGAGGGGAGAGGACGTGGTGATTTGCAGTGTATACCAATTTCCACAGTGCACTCACTCACCGTGAGCGTGACATCACTGAACGCAGAGCTGGGAAGAGATGCACTGTTGCGCACCACACTGTGTCATTTCCACCACATAGACACAACAGATGTAAATAACGTGAAGAGCACAGATAACAGTAAAAAGTAGCAAATAATAAGGAAGTGATAAGGTCGGAGTATTTTCACTGCCTTTGTTTTTAACACAATTTATGTAATTTTAAGTTTATGTGATCAAATTTTCGATGATGGCCCTGTTTAGCAATCGGATCTTGTGAGCTAGTACTGAAATGAATATAACCTGAAACATTAAAAGAAGTAGGGGAAAAAGCATGACTTAAAGACGTGCTCCACTGCGTATGATATTACAGAGAATCTTCCTTTGACTACGCGGACTCCATAAAAGACTATTTCAAAGTATCATCCCATGTGTACTACTCTTTCAAAACCATCAATAACGCAAATGGAGGCAGGCGCCTTGCACACAGAAAGACGCTTGCCAGCTGTCTGAGATGAACGTCGAAACGGACAAAGAAGCCACGTTCGGCTCAAGGTGCCAGAGCGCTTCCGAGAACAGGAACGGAACGTCTCCAGGCTTAGGCTGCTGGGGGCGGCGCCGGAAGGCTGAGCGAGCTAGACTGGAGACAATACCCCGGGGCAGTTCGGCCCCAGTCTGGCGCCTGACCTTGGCCGGAGCCTGGGAGCAGCTGGGCCGGGGGTGAGCCCTGGGCGCGCTTTCCACCCCCGTGCCGCTTAAGCTCCATGGGGAGCTCTTCCGGGACTGGCAGACGCAGAGCCCTTCCCCTTCTGGAGCCCAGGAAGGCGGCTCCCCGCGGCGCTGGCGGCGCGCGCGCCCGCCCTTACCTTGACTGGAAGCGGCCATTTCGGCGAGCTTGTCTCGCGATGACACCAGCAGGGGCTCAGCGCAGTAGGACGCTGAGTGGTGCGCCGTCGTCGCCTCAAGCTGGCTTCCGGCACGTGGGCCAGATGTTTCCATTCCTACAGCTACAGCGGAAGAGGGCGGGCTGGGCGCACGACGGTCACCCCTCACCCCACGCGCGCAGCTGCGTCACAAGCCTCGCGGCCCCGCCCAGCAGACATGCCGAGACGCGCTTGCGCAGAAAGCCGCCCAGGGCGCCAAGATGGTGGATGTGTTGCTCGCCTAGAAGAAAATTCCTAGGGCGCGACCGCGACGTGGCCCTTCTCTAGTAAAGACTGTTTTCCCCATTACTTTACTAAAAATAAAGACAGCAGTCTTATCGTATTTGTTCATGTAAGTATTGAGGACATATTTATTACTGCCTGCTATGTGCCGGACGCTGTTCTAGTGGAGAAAAAACATTTAAAAAATCACTGCAATAACAATAACTAAGAGGGGCGCTCGGAAAGAAAAGAGCTTCCTTTCCTGGAATGCCTAGGGAGCCCTTTAACCATGTGCCAGGATGCATCTCCCCACCCCACCCCTAAGCTACCCCTCTCGCTGTCACGCCATGCCAGTTAATGGCAACTTCACTGTTCCAAAAACCTTGGTGTTATTTCAAGCTTCTCTTTCAAAGCCCACAAGTCCAATTCATCAACAACTCCCATAAACGCTACCTTCACAGTGAATTTGTAGCCGGAAAAACCTGGGACCCTGTCACCGTAGCTGAATCAATGAACACAGTGACCAGGGATTGAGGAAAAGAAAAATGGTTTAATTTTGCCAGGAAAATGAGGCTGTGGTGGGCTGGGGCCCCAAAACCCACAGTCCTCCAGAGGCATTAGGAGTTGGGGTTTTAAAGGTTGTGAAGAATGTAGCAAGCCTGTGGCCTTGCTGGTCACCGCTTTCTCACAAGACTGTATTTGGACTTGTGAGGCTGCTGGCAGGGAGGAGGATGGCGAGATAAGGGACTTGCAGGTGGATGTCCTTCAACTGTCTCCCTGGTGGATGGTGGAGTCGGTGCCAGGAACCAGGAGTTGGGGAGCTTCAGCTTGTTGATAATTTCGGGATATCAGTCTCCCTGTAACAAATCTCAAGAACTGGTGATTAGCCAGAACTCAATGTGAAGCCACCTGGGCTTCTAATAATTTATTACCTCCATTTGCCTTGTGGAATTGAGGGATATGAAGGCTAAAACAACCAATATCTACATGTGAACAGACCTTAAAGAAGCGGGGAAGGGGGAATGAGTGCTTTTTAGTTTTTAACCCCATATATGCTGGGTTCAACATAGGGGAACAGATATCAGGGCTGACGTCAAATCCAACCATTTCTCACCCCTCCAGTGCTACCATCCTAGCCCAAGTCACAATCACTTCTCGCCCCCAGTTAACAGGTTGACCTGCCCCTACCCTTGTCTCCCTAAAGTCTATTCTCGCCATTGCGACCAGAAAGATCATGACCCTCCTCTATTGAGAACTGTACCGTGGCTCCCTATTGCCCTCAATGTAAAAGCCGAAGTTCCTTTGCTGAAATGTAACCTCAGTGAGACTTTCCATGACCATCCTAATTTAAAATTGCAACCTGGTACCTCCTTCCCCTTCCCCAGCTTACTCTTCTTTTGTGCACAGCACTTATTTTACATTCTAACATACTGCATAAGGTACACAAGTATTATAAGTACTGCTTGTTGTCTTTCGGTTGTTTATATATTTCACTGCGGTGCACCTAGCACCTAGGACAGTGTCTGGCTAGGACAAATGGGTAGTTGTGTGGCCTTAAGCAAACCATTTAACCTTTCTGTGCCTCAGATACTTCATCTGTACTCGCTTTGCAGTCTCATCCTGAGGATTAAATCAGATAATGTGTAAAGCATCTGGCAGAGAATTTATCACCCTGTATTGTAACTGTCTACCTTTCTGTCTCCCCCATTGGCCTATGACTCCCAGAAGGCAGGAACTGCATTTTATTCATCTCTGAGGCAAGGGAGTATAGCATAGCGGTTAGGAACATGACTTCTGGAGCCAGATTACGTGGATTTAAATGCTACCACTTAAAAACTGTGTGAGCATGGCCAAGTTGCCTAACCTCTTTGTGCTTCAGTTTCATCACCTGTAAAATGAGGACAAGAATAGCAGCTGCATTAGAAAGCACTTAGTTCCTGGCATATAGTACATGCCAACTAATATCTCTGCATCCTGGTGCCTGGTAGAGAGAAGGCCTCAGCAAATGTTTACCAAAGGATCTTTTTCCTGCTTATTTCCAACCTGCACAACACCTCACCACTTGCTCCCAAACACATTCTTATCTGTGTGGAAAAGGACTCTCAGTAATAACATTGCATATAGCAACCCTGGTCAAGTTTCTTCTTAATAATTTTTTTTATTTATTTATTTTTCCCCAAAGCCCCAGTAGATAGTTGTATGTTATAGTTGCACATCCTTCTACTTGCTGTATGTGGGACGCGGCCTCAGCATGGCCGGAGAAGTGGTGCGTGGGTGCGCGCCCAGGATCCGAACCCGGGCCGCCAGCAGCGGAGCACGTGCACTTAACGGCTAAGCCATGGGGCCGGCCCTCAAGTTTCTTCTTATTAGCTCCTATACTTTGAGGCCCTTGGGGAAACCCTCACTCCCCTAATATATGTTTACCAGAGTAGAGTCTCTGCTTGAGCTCAGCATGGCTACACTTTGATGTAAAGAGGTATATGCTATACCTGGGCCACATGTAAACAACCCTAGGAAGCATCAGGTAACAACGATGCAAGGTAAATATATACATAAATTCCGGGTGGTGGAGGCATATCAGTAGTACTGGTGGGAGTAGAGAGCTTACAATGTAAATGTGGTGGTCCATATTTGAACTCATTGAGAAGGCAAGATTTGAGCCAAGACTTGAAGGAGATGTGGGAGTGGAAACATGTGGAGATCTGGGAAAAAGGTGTTTTGGGTAGAGGAAATAGCCAGTGCTAAGGTCTAGGCACAAGTATGTGCTTGGTATTTTAAGGAAGAACCAGAGTGAGATGAGACCACAGAGGTGGAGGGAAGGGACGTGCAGATCCTGGGGGATGCTCTAGGTCATGGTAAAGAGGTAGAATTTTACTCTGAGTGAGGTCAGAAGCCAGTGGAGGGTTCTGAGCCAAGGAGTGATAGGATCCACTTTATAGTTTTAAAGAGTCACTTGGTGGTGGCTGTGTGAGGGGCAAGAGTAGAAGCAGAAGACTATTAGAATACTGGTTAATCTTGCTTATGCAAGTGGATTTCAGAATCTTCAACAACATCCACAGCTTCTCTTGCTGCTGCTACTAAGGAAGAGGTTTGGAGTAGTCTAGGAATGTGAATACAAATTAAAGCTCCTCTTTACCTTGACCTCTCCCTCCCCCTCTCCCTTTCTTTCAAGATTCTGATTAAAGCAGCTTTCTTGTGCCCCTACTGCTCTCAGAGGTGAATGGGTTAAGCTTTAGCTCAGCCTCCCTTTTCCTATTCAGTTCTTCCTGTGGCTGCTTCCCACTGCCAAAAAGGAAGCAATCTTATCAGTTACTGCTTAGTACTCATGCTGCTGTCACATCCAGCAGGTAAAGTTCCCTAAAATTCTCTGCAAAACTTTTGGGACCTTTCACTAAATCATAGAGAATTTACCTGTTTTTCTCCTGAGAGCTGAAGATATTTTAGAGAAGAATTAATCTTTCCTTTCTGCAGTTGAACATTTTCTAGCAGTAAGAGCCATGCAAATAGAGCTCTCCAGCTGCTTCTTTCTGTGCCTTTTGCCATTCAGCTTTGGTGCCACCAGAAGATATTACCTGGGCACAGTGGAACTGTCCTGGGACTATATGCAAAGTGAACTGCTCAGTGAGCTGCACGTGGACACAAGGTAAAGGCATGTTCTATAGAGTCCGATCAGGATTGTGGGGATGTGACTCTGGTTGGAGGAAGGTGCAGACATCAGGTTAGGATGACTGTGATGCTAGTTAAGCCCTGAAAAAGCATTTCCAGGTAAGGCATGCATGCGTCTGTGCTATTAGCACAAATGCTTATTGCCAATCCTTTTCATAGTTCTGACCTATGTGTTGATATTTTGTTCTGTTTTGTCCATTGCTTCTCTTGGTCACATGCCGCCACTCTCGAAACTAGAGGGTGGAGTAGAGAGACTGCGAAGAGGCAAGGAGAAAAAGAGAACAAAGCTTTCCTCAGCCTACCCCCAAGCTTCCACAGAGAGAGGCAGAGCAATGAGATCCCATCAGTATTACACACAAGTTTAGTCTTAGTTCTCTTGTGTGTACATATGGTGTGGTTTTAATATCTTTGCCCACTTTTGGTGTAAGGATAGTACTAGCCATGAGTTCAGAAGCTTTTCATCTTTTTTGGTTTCTGGTGCATTTTGGGAGAGTAATATTAAATAATCTTTTCAGTATTATCTATGGTCATCAATTTATTCAGATTTTTCTACCTCTTCTTCAGTCAAATTTGGTTATATATGTTTTCCTAGAAAGCAATCTGTTATCCCTAGATTTGATAATGTATTGGCGTCAAGTTATGTAATAGTCTTCTGCTATTGTTAAACTGTTCTATATCTGTAGTTATATCTCCTTTTTCATTCTTATGTTGTGTATGTTCTCTTTCCTTCTCTTGAAAATAATATTTCCAGGAAGTTTCTCAATTTTATTGATCTTCTCAGGGACCATCTTTTGGTTCTATCAATTTCTGCTTTTACTTTCATTAATTCATTCCTTCTTCCTAATTTCCTTTGGTTCATTTTGTTGATCTATTTTTTCCTTATTGAGTTGAATGCTGAAATCATTCATTTTTAATTTTGTTTTGTTTTCCTTAAATGTGTATTATAAAGATTTAAACCCAATACATATATAATGGCAATGTCAATATTAAATGTGGTCATATCATACATACTTTATAGTCTTTTTTGTTCTTTCTGTTTGGCTCCCCACCCTCCTTCTACATCATCCCCCTTCTTGCCTATCCCCAACCAGGTCACCCAAGCAGGATACTATATATTCATGTACACACCCATATACATATATATGCAAATAAAAGTTTTCTTGGTCATTCTTTGTTTTACAAAAATGGGATATTATACACACTTTTCTCACTCGTTAACACCTAGTAGAATTTTGTCCCAGTTAATTGGCATAGCTTCAATTCGTTCTTTTTAATGACCATTATATCCTAGACCATTACATACTGGTGCTTTTATTCCTATGGGACAGATTCTCAAGAGGGATATTGCTGGAATGAAGGGACTATTTCCTTTTTAGTTTTAATTTCTAAAAAGGCCAAAACTCTTCAAACATTTTTACCATCAACGTATAGGAATGCCCTTCTCCCTGCATTCCCATCGGAAATAAGTTTTATCCTGCTTTTTAATTTTTGCCAGTCTAGTAGGTATAGACTGATAGTGCATCATTACTGTAACTGCATTCCTTTTATTTCTAATGAGGTTGAGCATCTTTTCAAATTCTTGTTGGCTATTGCATTTATATTTTGAGATTTGACTATTCATGTGTTTTGTCCATTTTTCTTTGGGCTCTTTCGTTTTTTTTTTTTTTTTTTTAATTATGAGAACCCTTTTGTTTTAACCCTTTGTCAACCCTACATGATAATACCAATGTATATTGCAATTTCCTCCAAGACCTACTGTTTGTCTATTGACTTTGTTTATAACTTTTATGAAAAAAGTTTTTAATTTTTATAGTCAAATATATCTATCTTTTCTTTCATATCTTCAGAGTTTCCAGTATTGGTTAAAAATGTTTTATGCATGTCAAGATTGTATGTGTATTCTCCCAGATTTTCTTGCAAGATATTTACTATTTTGCTTTTTACATTTATGGCTTTAATTCATCTGATAATTATTTTTATATATGGTATGGGAGTGGGATCTGTCTAGTTTTATTTCCATCCAGATCAATAGCTTATTGTGATGGCACCATTTATCAAATAATACATCTTTGCCACTGATTTGAATAACCACATTCATCATATAAAATTCTCATATATATTTATATCTATTCCTGGATTCATTATGCTGTTTCACTGATCTACTTTTAGGTTGCTATGCCAGTACCATATTGATAAGATTGCAGTAGGTCTATAATATCTTCTGATATCTGATAGGAGGTGAAATCAATCCTCACTGCTCTTTTTATACCTTTCTTAGCATTTCTTAGACATTTTATTCTTCCATGTAAAAATGTTAAAATATTTTTCCAATTAAAAAGAGCCAAGCCCTATTGTGATTCTAATTGGAATTTCATTAAACTTATACATTAATTTTATTAATATAAGTGTAAGTAATTTATTATTGCATTTATCCCTATGCATTTTATGAATGTGTTGTTATTGTTAAAAAAATGTTTTCTCCTATTTCCATTTCTTGGTGTTTAGTACCAGAATAGAGAAAAGCTGTCGGTTCGTGTATATTCATCTTGAATCTAGCTGCCTTACCGAATTCTCTTATTAATTCTAGTAATTTTACACTACAGTCTCTCTGGATATTGAATCATAACCAAAATGAGCAAAATGAGACAGATTTTAGCTCTTTTCTAATGTTTATAGCCAGTTATTTCTTTTTATTATCTTTTTGAATTTATTAGAAAATACAAGAAAACGTTACATAATAGTGATGAAAGTGAGCATTTCTGTCTATTCCATGATTTTACTTGAAATAGTCTTAATATTTTGCTATTTGGAATAACATTTGCTGTTTGTTTTTGATAAATGGTCTTTGTTACTTCTATTCCCATTTGCCATAAAATTTTTATTAGAAATGACTTTTTAGTGTCTAGCATCATCTGAGTTTTCTTCTTTAACATGTTGATGGACAAATAGATTATGTTAATACATTTCCCAACACTGAATACTCTTACTTTCTTGGAGTACAATGTACTATTCATTTAATTGGATTATTGCTGGGTTCTATGTGCTAATATTTATTTAGACAATGTGTGCCTTTATTATGTGGGATTGAGCTATAGCTTTGACTATTATTATTAGATTTTGGTCTTAAAGTTTTGTTGGCTTTATCAAATGAATTGGTGAGTGCTCCATCTTTTTTATTGCCTAGAATAGCTCAAATAACATTAGAACTATCTATTGCTTAAAAGTTAAGACACACTTATGAATCCATTTGGTCCAAGTGACATTTGTATTATCTTTAATCATCTCTTCAGGCTCTTATATGATAATTAGTCAAATCAGGTTTCAACTTTTTTTGGAGTCAGCTTTAATAATTTTATACCTTTCCAGGAAATCATTTCCTTTATTTTTTCAATTTTGTTGCCACAGTGTTGCATATAGCACTCTCATGATTCTTTTTCTCCACATTATTTGTAGTTATGTGCGCTTTCTCATTCTTAAATTCCTATATCTTTGCTATTTATCTTTTATTCACAAACAAGTTTGCCAGGGATTTGTCTATTTTGTTGTTGGTGGTGGTCTTTTCAAAGAATGAGCTTTTGGGTTTCTTTGTTCTTCCTAGTTGTTTTTTAATATTCAGTTTAGTTTTGGACTTTATCAATGATCTCTTCTTAGTTTCTTTTGGCTTATCATGCTGTATTTTTTCTTTTTTTTTTTTTTTTATAATTTTTATTTATTTATGTTTTCCCCCAAAGCCCCAGTAGATAGTTGTATGTCATAGCTGCACATCCTTCTAGTTGCTGTATGTGGGACACGGCCTCAGCATGGCCAGAGAAGCAAGCGGTGCGTCAGTGTGCGCCCAGGATCCGAACCCGGGCCGCCAGCAGCAGAACGCGAGTACTTAACCGCTGAGCCACGGGGCCGGCCCTATATTTTTTCTAATATCGCAGGAAAAGTAATATGTTCTTTTCTCTTTCTTTTGTTCTTTGTCATTAATAGTGAAAGGATTTAAAGCTATACATTTTTCTCTGAGAACAACTGTTCCATATCCCGTAGGTTATGGTATGAAGAGTTTTCTTTTCGTTGTTTTCAGTATAGTTTGTAATATCCTCTTTGATTTCATTTAGGAGCATGATTTTTAATTGCATTTTTTATTTGCTTGTCAAGTTATATTTTAATATTTGGATCAACTTTGAATATCCTATTAGTTTCCTATTGCTGTGTAACAAATTACCTCAAACTTAGCAGCTTGCAATAACACCCATTTATTATCTCACAGTTTCAGTGGGTCAGAAGTCCAGGTGGGCTCGACTGGGTACTCTGCTCACGGTCATACAAGGCCAAAATCAAGGTGTCGACAGGGCTGTGCTCCTTGCTGGAGGCTCTGGGGGAGAATCTACTTACAGGCTCATTTGAAATTCAGTTTCTTCTCTCCATTTCCATGTAGCGCCTTCCATCTTCAAGCTAGCAAGAGTCCATCAAGTCTCTTTCATGTTTTGAATCTGTCTGACTTCAGTTTCCACCATATCTCTCTGACCTTCTTTTCTGCCTCCCTCTTCCACTTTTAAGAACCTTCGTGATTACATTGGGCCCACTCAGATATTTCAGGATAATCTCCTCATCTCAAGGTCAGCTGATTAGCAACCTTAATTCCATCTGCAAAGTTTCTTTTGCCATGTAACACAACATATTCATGGGTATAACACCAAAGGGCAAAGGTCATGAGGGACAAAATGTTGCCTACCACAGGTATAATTTACATACAGTGAAACACACAGATTTTAAACGTGCGGTTTGATAAGTTTTGACAAATGCATACAAGTTACATAACCACTACCCTAATCAACATATAGAACATTTACATCAACCCTCCAGCAACTTTTCAGTGAGTCTCACTACTCTGACCTGGCCCCAGGCAATAAGCTGCTTTCTGGAATTATAGATTCATTTTTGACTTTTCAAGACTGTTATATCAGTAGAATCATAGAGTATGTACTCTTC